TTTCTTTCTTTCTTTCTTTCTTTCTTTCTTTCTTTCTTTCTTTCTTTCTCTCTGTCTGTCTGTCTGTCTGTCTTTCTCTCTCTCTCTCTTTCTCTCTTCCTTCCTCCCTTCTTTTCTTTTTTCTTTCTTTCTTTCTTTCTTTCTTTCTTTCTCTTTTTTTGTCTGTCTTTCTTTCTGTCTGTCTTTCTGTCTTTCTTTCTTTCTCTCTCTTTCTTCCTTCTTTGCTTTTTTCTTTCTTTTCTTTCTTTTCTTTCTTTCTTTCTTTCTTTCTTTCTGTTTGTCTTTTTGTCTGTCTTTCTTTCTGTCTTTCTTTCTCTCTCTTCCTTCTTTGCTTTTTTCTTTCTTTTCTTTCTTTCTTTCTGTTTGTCTTTTTGTCTTTCTTTCTGTCTGTCTTTCTGTCTTTCTTTCTCTCTCTCTCTCTTTCTTCCTTCTTTGCTTTTTTCTTTCTTTTCTTTCTTTCTTTCTGTTTGTCTTTTTGTCTGTCTTTCTTTCTGTCTGTCTGTCTTTCTGTCTTTCTCTCTCTCTCTCTCTCTTTCTTCCTTTGCTTTTTTCTTTCTTTCTTTCTGTTTGTCTTTTTGTCTTTCTTTCTTTCTTTCTTTCTCTCTCTCTCTCTTTCTTCCTTCTTTGCTTTTTTCTTTCTTTTCTTTCTTTCTGTTTGTCTTTTTGTCTGTCTTTCTTTCTTTCTGTCTGTCTTTCTGTCTTTCTTTCTCTCTCTCTCTCTTTCTTCCTTTGCTTTTTTCTTTCTTTCTGTTTGTCTTTTTGTCTGTCTTTCTTTCTTTCTTTCTCTCTTTCTTTCTGTCTGTCTTTCTGTCTTTCTTTCTCTCTCTCTTTCTGTGTCTGTCTCTTTCTTTCTGTCTGTCTTTCTGTCTTTCTCGCTCTTTCTTTCTTTCTTTCTTTCTTTCTTTCTTTCTTTCTTTCTTTCTTTCTTTCTTTCTTTCTTTCTTTCTTCCCTATATTTTATGGATTTTTTTTACAAAAAGATAAATCCCTTAAGAGTCGGTAAACAAGCATGTCGGCTGGCTTTGCCTTCGTCAGGGAAAATCAGGAACAGTCGGCGTCTGTAATCCGTAATCCGCGTAGTACGTTTAGTTGATTGCCCTCTTTCCCCCCAACATGTCTTCTTTCCAAACCTTGAATTAATACAGTTCTTATTATTTGGATAAATGACGGTTACATAAATGGTTCCCCCCCCACAATATTCCTAGAAATAATGATCACATCAATATAATATTATTTTTATTTGCATACTTAGGAAGAGAGAGAGAGAGAGAACGAGATCTGCTTATATGTAGACCTTGTTTAAAGACTGACCTGCCTGAGCAGGAGGTTGGACTAGATGACCTCCAAGGTCCCTTCCAACGTTGTTGTTATTAATAATAATAATAATAATAATTTATTTATTATTATTTATTTATTTATTTTTTATTATTATTTATTTGTTATTTATTATTATTAATTATTATTTATTATTGTTGTTGTTTATTGTTTATTATTATTAATAATTTATTTGTTATTATTTATTTATTTGTTATTTGTTATTTATTATTGTCATTATTTATGTCATTTGTTATTTATTAATTTTTATTATTAATTATTATTATTAATTATTATTGTTTATTGTTTATAGTTTATTATTACTATTAATTTATTTGTTATTATTTATTTATTTGTTATTTGTTATTTATTATTATTTGTTATTTATTATTTGTTATTTATTATTATTGTTGTTTATTTATTTGTTATTAATTATTATTATTATTAATTGTTGTTATTATTAATTGTTATTATTATTAATTATTATTGTTGTTGATGGTTTATTATTATTATTTTTCCCCACTAGGATTAAATCATCTTTTCTTGCTTTGTTAAGTTCCGTCTTTGAGTCTCCATTTTCAATTTTATGTCCACTTATTTGTTTTGTCTGCTCCTTCTCTGTTGTTGTTTCCTGGAAGTTTTTGTTTTTGTTGTAGAGTTAATTTAGAAATAGATTGATTTATACTTTGAAATTTATTTTGGATTTCTTTGTGATTTGAACTCAAGTGTTATTTGAATTAATTGCAGTATACTATATATCTCCTCCTGAGAGGTATTTATGTTTTCTCGGCATGTTCTATCTACATGTCTCTGATCCATGATGGCCAAAAGTTAGTTTTCCTTTTTATCTGCAAATAGCTCTGGCATCCCGGTTAAATAAATATTTGTAATCCAAAGAGATAAAAAAATATTTTTTTCCCTAACGTTTATAATTCTCTCTTTGTCTGCAGCCCAGATTGTTGTCTGGATTTTTTTTTTGTCACAGCTTTTCTTTATTATTAAAGCTTTGAAGGTCACAAACACAGATTAGCTTTTCCGAGGTTTTGGCAAGATCTCTATGGAAATCATAACTGTCATAATCTTTATCCACCACTAGGTGTCAGCATCTATTTAGTTTTCAATATGAACAATGGTCTTTAAAATGAGAGTCTTAGCCATTCAACAATTCTAAACTTGTCCAAAGTTAAATTTTAGCTTTCAAGTTTATAAATTTATTTCACTACCATGTATTTTGATCCTCCATGGAAATTTTAATTCGCCGCTTCTGCTAGTATAAGGGTGGGGCGGAAGTCCCTCTCCTTCATTTTCGTAGGTATTTTGCTTCTTGGGGATCTTTTCCAGGAAATTAAGTGTAGAATAGAAAAGGGAAAATCAGATTCCTCACCCAGTTTCAAGCACGCTGTTTACTGTTGTGCTGGTTAGTTCTTTTGGACTTCGGTTGCAAGTAGTTTGGGCTGATCGGTGAAATACAGACTTTCTCCTGTCGGGTTAGAAGGCTTTCCCCAAGATGAATGGAACGACCACCATCATTCCAGAGTCGCCGGGGCACCCTTCTTTTTTTGCCGCCTTTCCGGGGTGGCTTGGACCCATTAGGGTCTCCAGGCAGCACGAAAATTAGCCGCGGGGGTGTGGCGGTCCGCAAGTCCGCGATCAGTCACTACCGCGCAGGACCGGAAGTCTCCACGTTTCTATCCATTATATCTCTGTTGGTCTGTCTGCCTAACTATCTATCCATCTATATTTAACTATCTATCCACCCATTCATCTCTCTCTATTACGGTACCTCTCTCCATCCATCTTCAATAATTCATCATCTATGCCAGGGGTGTCAAACTCTCAATGTCACGTGACGTGTCCCGACGTATCACAACTTTTTTTTCCATTTCCGGCAATAGGGTGGATGCGGTTTTGCCATGGCGCATCTGACCCGTGGGCCGGCAGTTTGACACCCCTGGTCTATGGTATAATATCTATCCATCTATCTTTATCCATCCATCCATCCATCCATCCATCATTCTCTGTCTCTCTATCCATTATATCTATCTATCTATCTATCTATCTATCTATCTATCTATCTATCTATCTATCTATCTATCTATCTATCTATCTTCAATAATTTATCATCTATCATCTATCCATCTATATTTATCCATCTATCCATCTATCAATCTCTCTATCCATTCTATCTTCAATAATTTATCATCTATCATCTATCTATCCATCTATATTTATCCATCTATCAATCTCTCTATCCATTCTATCTATCTTCAATAATTTATCATCTATCATCTATCTATCCATCTATATTTATCTATCTATCCATCCATCAATTTCTCTATCCATTCTATCTATCTTCAATAATTTATCTATCATCTATCCATCTATATTTATCCATCTATCTATCTATCAATCTCTCTATCCATTCTATCTATCTATCTTCAATAATTTATCATCTATCATCTATCCATCTATATTTATCCATCTATCCATCTATCAATCTCTCTATACATTCTATCTATCTTCAATAATTTATCATCTATCATCTATCTATCCATCTATATTTATCTATCTATCCATCCATCAATTTCTCTCTATCCATTCTATCTGTCTGTCTGTCTGTCTGTCTGTCTGTCTGTCTGTCTGTCTGTCTGTCTGTCTGTCTGTATGTATGTATGTATGTATGTGTATATATGTGTGTATATAGTTCCAGGTTGCTTCTCTCTTTGATTAGTTTCCACCCGTTGCTTCTTGTCCTGCCTTCAGGCGCTTTGGAGAATAGCTTGACTCCCTCTTCTTTGGGGCAAGCCCTGAGATATTGGAACATGGCTATCATGTCCCCCCTTGTCCTTCTGTTCATAAAACTAGACATACCTAATTCCTGCAGCCGTTCCTTATATGCTTTAGCCTCCAGTCACCTGATCATCTTTGTTGCTCTTCTCGGCACTCTTTCTAGAGTCTCAACATCTCCACTTCGCTCTCGTGAGCGGAGTTTCGTGCACATGCTTTCCCGCCACTCGCGGGAGTGGCACTTCTTGCGTGCTTGCCCATCGCTCACATGGTTTTAAACAGGCCGCAGCCGAGTATTGGGGATTAGGGATTGGGGACTCCTGCATTAGGACTCCTGAGATTGCTCTTGCAGTTACCAGTACTGTACTGAGCCAGGTATTAGAGCTCATTGTTCTTGAGCATCAGGACATAAGTGGGATCATTTGGGACCCTCAGAACCCTGGATCCAAACCCCAGAATCGTTTCCTTCCTGGCGCAGGTGACCTTCGAGGATGTGGCCATTTATTTCTCCCGGGAGGAATGGGAAGAATTAAGTGAAGGGCAACGGGAGCTGTACCAAGCTGTGATGATGGAGAATTACGAGGCAGTTCTTTCCTTGGGTAAGAACGACTTCATTGCTCAGGTGCTGGAGGGAAGAGGGTGAGTTGACTTCCCGCAATCCTGCTTGGCCCCAGATTTGTGTCTCCAACAGAGGTCAGCTGGACGCTTCTGGGGAACCTTCAAGCAGCAAGAGATGAAGGCCACGGACCTTCCCCTCGTTGGGTGCCTTTGATGGGGGAGCTTCCGTTGCATTATCAAAAGGCCGTGGCGACGATCTCCACAGCCGTGGTGACGATCTCCACGGCCTCCTCCGGTCTTTTGAGACCATCCCTGGTGCCTTTGCTGGAAGAGAGCGGACGCTAGAGGTCTCCCCGGCTGGGGAACATTTGATTGACAGACCCTCGGTCTCTTGAGGATGGAGCGGCTTCGGTTAAATGCTTAGAAGAGCCCCCCCCAGGACCTTGGGAGATCGAGTCTGTCTTCCAAATGCCGTGCCGGGTTTGGACGACGGGATTTCGTAGTCCGAGCCGCTCTGAAGGGCGTGCTAGAACCTTCGGAAGGGGCTCCCGAGGTCCTCGAATCTTAATGTCCTGCTCAAAGCAGCAGGAAAGCAGATAAAAATAACCCCCCAAAGATGGCGGTCCAGCCTGTGCTTGAATACTTCCCGGAACCAGGAGCTCATCACCTTTGGGATAGGTAAGGAAGCTTTCCCTCTAACATTCATTCAGACCCTACCTACCTGTCTATTTAGTCCACGAATAGGATATTTGTAGCCTGTCTGAGTTTGGGGGTTTCTTTGCAGATATTTCATGATCCAACTAGAGAACACCATCAGGGCTAGAAGGGAGAGGGATTCGCAGGAAGGAGAAGGGGGAGGGGGAGGGGGAGGAGGAGGAGGAGGAGGAGGAGGAGGAGGAGGAGGAGGAGGAGGAGGAGAAGAAGAAGAAGAAGAAGAAGAAGAAGAAGAAGAAGAAGAAGAAGAAGAAGAAGAAGAAGAAGAAGAAGAAGAGGAGGAGGAGGAGGAGGAGGAGGAGGAGGAGCTTGGTGGTTTTCTCGCAGACGTTTCGTGACCCATCCAGGTAACCACATCAGTGCAAGAAAGGAGTGAGGTTATAGAACTGATCCCACTCCCTTCTAGCACGGACGACGTCACCTCGTTTGGTAGTGAAATGTCTGCAAGAAAGCAACCAACTCAGAGGACACCAAAGACCCTACTGTCCTCCTCCTCCTCCTCCTCCTCCTCCTGCCCCCTCTTTCCTCTCCTCTCCTCTTCTCTACAAACCTCACTCCCTTCTAGCACTGATGCTGTTACCTAGTTTGGTAACATCTGCAAGAAAGCAACCAAGCTTGGAGAGCACCAAAGTCACCATAGTCATTCTCCTCCCCCTCCTCCTCCTCCTCCTCCTCCTCCTCCTCCATCACCACCACAAACTTCACTCCCTTCTAGCACTGATGATATTACTAAAGGAACTGTTGTAAGTTGAGATCTATATAACGACTCCTGCTTGAGCAGGGGGCTGGACTAGATGACCTCCGAGGCCGTTTCCGACTCTGTTATTCTGTACGGGTAGTTCTCAACTTACAACAACTCATTTACTGATCGGTTTCAAGTTATACTGAAAAAAAAAGCGACCTCGGAGCGTTTTTCACGCTTACGACCGTCACACTAGCCCCGTGGTCACGCGATCAACATTCAAAGCTTTGGCAACCGACTCACGTTTGTGGTGGTCACTAAACGAACCGTGGTAAATTGAGGACTCCCCGTATTTAGGAAATCCGGAAGGGATCGACCAGGGACTTCAGATTTCCCCGTTCGTCCAAGGAGAGAATTTACCGCTGGCCTTGGGGATCGGGAAAAAGTCCCAGTTCCCAACAGCCAGTTGCTTCCCCCAAATCTCCCAGTTTGCGTGCGGGGAGAGACTGGTCAGAACTGGGGAGGGCAGCCTCTGGGGTCTGGGGATGGAAAATAGACATGGAATGAGTTGAGACCCCTTTGCTGTTTTCTCTGTTTCCGACAGGCCTCCTGTCTGTCACGCCGCAGATTATCAACCAGATCGAACGCAAGGAGGCCGTTGTTACGGGAGAATTGTGGCAGCCGTGTGAATGGACAGATCCACAAGGTCAGTGGCCGGGTCAGAATTTCTTTACCATTTGGTTGAGAGGAAGGAAAATGTGGAATAAGAAAAAAGGAAGAGCACACAGGGAGAATGTTCACTCACGATAATCCTCGCTTTACAATTTAGCGACCGTTCAAAGTTCCGACACTGGAAAAAAGGGACTTAGGACTGTTTTACACGCTTATGACCACTGCGGTCTCTCCGTGCTCGTCTGAGGCAAATTCAGATGCCTGGCAACTGGCTCATATTTAGGACGGTCGCAGTGTCCCGGGGTGACGTGACCCTCCTTTCGCGACCGTCCGACGAGTAAAGTCAACAGGGACAGCCAGATTTATTTCATAGCCGTGCGACTAACTGAACCGGCAGGGAGTTACTTAGCGGCTGGGGAAACCGTGCTTTCGAGAATAATTGTGGTTGGAGGTTGGCAAACTCAAAAGATCACGATGTGTCATTTTCGACACGCATGTCAATGCTCGGCCATGACTGATTCGAGCGATGCCCGGAATCTCGCACCAATTTCTCTGGAATCGCAGCAACTTGCAAGTCGATCTGCGAAGCAGGAGATTCCAGCGACAACATTTGGTTCCGGGGTATTTGGGGCAGGTGGTCAAAAAAAGTCAAGATGGCCGCCATAGGTGCCTGACGCACATCAAAAGGGGTTTAGCGGCACAGGGGCCATCTTGACTTCTTCCCACTGGATGCTGCTGTGATATCGACACCGCCATCTCTGAGCTGAGATTTGGAGTAGGTTGCTAAGTAACCATTTTTGGGTGGGTGGGTGAGTGAGAAGAAATGGGGTAGAAATCTAATTATGATTCTCCATCTGGCCCACGGTGATGAGGTGTCTTCTTTCTTTTAGCAGAAGATGGTATCGCGATGGTGGACGTAGGTGAGGGCAGAGTGGAGACTGGGTCCCCTGTGATGCCCCCGGGGAAGAGGAAGAAAGGCCGCCCCCGGACCGCCAACCCGGTACCCAAACCCGAAAGCAAAGGTCCTCCACGGGTGACGCTGAAGATGAACCCGCCAAAGTGCCCCGAATGCGGTAAAAGCTTCTTCAGCAACGTGGCCATGACCATCCACATCCGGACGCACACCGGAGAACGCCCGTTCAAGTGCCACCTCTGCCCCAAGGCCTTCCCCTCCCGGGGGGACCTCAAGCGGCACATCAAGACCCACCTGCGCAGGAAGCCGCCCCCGCCGGTCGTGGCCCGCAGCGGCTCCTCGAAAAAGAGCTTGGCAGCCAAGATGCAGCTGCAGTGTCACCTGCGCTGCCTGCCCGATCCGAAGAAACCCTACAGCTGCGTGGAGTGCGGGAAAAGCTTCAACAAGAAGCAGAGCCTGCGCAAACACCAGGGGACGCACTCGACGGAGAGGCCCTTCGCCTGCCTGGAGTGCGGGCGCAGCTTCCGGCTTAAGCAGATCCTGGTGGCGCACATGGCCTCGCACATCAAGGAGCGCCCCTTCCCCTGCGAACAGTGCGGGAAGTGCTTCGCCCAGGAACGCAATGTGCGCAGCCACCAGAGGGTCCACACCGGCGAGAAACCCTTCCTGTGCATGGCGTGCGGGAAGCGCTTTGGCTACAAGCAGCATCTGGTCAAGCACCTACGCTTCCACACTGGCGAGCGGCCATACCGATGCCCCGAGTGTGGGAAGACCTTCCGGGATAAGACCACGCTGAACATCCACTACCGCATGCACACCGGCGAGCGGCCGTACCGCTGCCCTTTCTGCAGCAAGACCTGTCGGCAGAAGCAGCACCTCAACAGTCACCTGAAGGTCCACCGCGGGGAGACGCTGCCCCTGGGGGACACCACCGGGCTCACCCTGCAAAGGGTGCGTGCCAAGGAGAAGCCGTACGAGTGTCCGCAGTGCCAGAAGCGCTTCCGGAACAAGAAAATCATGTTGGTGCACCAGAAGATGCACAAAGACGAAGTGCCGCGAAGTGCCCCACTGCAGAGCAAGAGGGGTCTACTTGTGGCAGATAGAAAGGCCCCCAGGGCAGGCCAAGGGGCAGGGAGGAAGAGGAAGCATGCGGGGCTCACTTCAGGGATGGTGTCCGCCCAGCCGGAGATGGCTCCCATCGCCTGCGCCGACTGCGGGAGGCGATTCACGCAGAGGAAGTACCTGACGCTGCATCAGAGGAGCCACAGGTGAGGAGACACTGGTTCTTGTTGGAATCTCATCGTCCATGAAGACTCCCAGGATGGCGCACGGCATGGGAACCGCCGCGGAGGAGGTGCCAGTTTGGGAGGCGCTGCCCACAAAAATGTCTAGACACAGCGCTGCGAGAAACATTGCTTTATTGTAGACAGTGGCGCTGTTTTGACCCCCCAGGACTAAAATACTCCAGCTTTTACTCCTGCCCTTTTGGGACAAGGGACAGCGGGCTGTTTTCCCAGTTTTGAGAGTTGACAGTCTCTCCCGCAGGTTTCAGATTCGTGTATCTCTGGTTTGAGCAACCAACAGAGGACCATCAAAACAAGCCTGACACAGGCATTCATAGTTTCTAGAGCACGGGTGTCAAACTTGCCATGTCACACGGCGTGGCGCGACGTGTCGCAACTTTTTTTGCATTGCCAGAGCTGGGGTGAGTGCGGCCTCGGTATGATGCAACTGGCCCGTGGGCTGGACGTTTGACACCCCCTTCTGAAGTGCGTAACGCTAAGCCCGAAAGACCCTTCGGTCTTTGCCCCCACTTGATCGCCCCAAGCTCCGTGATTGTGAAAAACTTAGTGGCCATCCCCGTGGTGTTCCTCCATAAATAAAGGTTAGTCCTCGACTTACGACAGTTCATTTAGTGACCCGTTCAAAGTTACGGCGCTGGAAAAATGGGACTTACGCCCCTTTTTCACACTTACAACCGTTTGTAGCATCCCCAGGGTTGACGGGATCAAAGGTCAGGCGCCTGAGCAACTGGTTCCTCACCGTTGTTGTGATCCCCTTTTTATGACCAGCAAAGTCAAGAGGGGAGGAGCCAGATTCACTTGATGACTGAGTTACCAACTTATCCACGGCGGTGATTCGCTTAACAACCAGGGCAAGGACGGTCGTCAAACGGGGTAAAACTCGCTGAACCGATGTCTCACCCTAACAACAGACATTTGGGGCGCTCTTGTCGTCGTAAGTCGAGGACGGCCTGTACGCGAACGGGTCCCTTATTCCTGCAAATGCCCTCGGACGTCGCGTCGCCCTCCGAACACCCTGGAAGGCTTTCGGGATGCTGGGACTTTGCTCCGTGAAAAACTGTGGCAGGTTTTAGCCGGAAGCCGGAACTGGTGAGCGGAATGTTCCTGCGTCGTGACCAAAGAACCACTTTTCAAGACAGCCGCAATAAACCAGAAAATTAATATTATGATGATGATGATGATGATGATGATGATGATGATGAGGAGGAGGAGGAGGAGGAGGAGGAGGAGGAGGAGGAGGAGGAAGAACTGTGGGGTCCTTGGTGCTCTCTGACCTGGGTAGTTTCCTTGCAGACGTCTCAGGACCCAACTAGGGAACATCATCAGAGTTAGAAGGGGAGGGGAGGGTCGTGGAGCGGAGGAGATGGGGGGGAGGAGGAGTTGAAGTCCACCCCTCTTAAAGGATGCCGGCGGGGGGATTCTGGGAATTGAATTCTCCACTCTTGAAAGATGCTGGCGGAGGAATTCTGGGAGTTTAGATCCACCCGTCTTAACATGCAGACTCTGGGACTTGAATTCAACGCATCTTAATGTGTGGGCTAAGGATTTCTGGGAGCTGAACTCCATCCCTTCCTTCCTCCTTCCCTCCCTCCCTCCTTTCAAGCATTTCTCCTTCCTTCCTTCATCCCTCTTTCTTTCCTTCACACCTTTCTCCCTACCTCCCACCCCTTCACACTATTTCCTTCCTTCCTCCTTCCTTCCTTCCTTCCTTCCCTCCCTCCTTCTTTCTAGCCTTTCTCCCTTCCTTCCTTCATCCCTCCTTCTTTCCTTCACGCCTTCCTCCCTACCTTCCATCTCTTCACACTCTTTCTTTCTTTCTTTCTTTCTTTCTTTCTTTCCTTCTTTCTAGCCTTTCTCCTTCCTTCCTTTCTTCATCCCTCCTTCTTTCCTTCACACCTCCCTCCCTCCCATTCCTTCACACTCTTTCTTTCTTTCTTTCTTTCTTTCTTCTTTCCTTCCTTCCTTCCTTCCTTCCTTCCTTCCTTCCTTCCTTCCTTCCTTCCTTTCTTCCTTCTTTCTAGCCTTTCTCCCTTCCTTCCTTCATCCTTCCTTCTTTCCTTCACACCTTCCTCCCTACCTCCCACCTCTTCACACTATTCCTTCCTTCCTTTCTCCCTCCCTCCCTCCCTCCTTCTTTCAAGCCTTTCTCCTTCCTTCCTTTCTTCATCCCTCCT